GCTCTACCAGCACGAAGAGCTGGGATTACCCATCAAAACACCCTTCTGGAAACTCAGACACACGCACGCTGTAAGAAATACGTAAACAGCATGAAAATTAGTTTTGACAGCTCCCTTCCCCAGCAAAAGACTGGAGAAAAAGATTCAAAATCAACCTAAGATCCTCTCTTTTTTGCACGTTGTTGGAAACGCTGGTGCTGCGTCCTGCTCGTGCAGGAGCGCAACAGGCAGAAGAGCAGGAGCTGCTCCAGCAACAGCCGGCGATCCCACCGGCGGGCAGGCAGCCTATCCGCAACCCAGGCTAACAGAGCGTCACTGATTTAATTGACCGATGATTTAATAAAATACCCTGGATATAGATTAACTTACTTGGCCTAATGCAGTTCAGCTTCCTGGCAGCAGGAACGGAAAGCGCTTTGTTAAGAGACCAAAACTCGGTCTAGCTCCCTGGGACTGCGCATAGGGGCACCCATCACAGCGGGAGGGACTGCAGGGAACCCTGTGGTTTTGGGCTACTGATGCTGCAATCAACTTCCAAAATATTTGACTTTCATGCAACATTTCCCAGTTACCTGTCTCAAAATGCTACAACCCCATACACAACCGGAACACACGTATTCCAACCTCTCCAGAGCCTAGACCTCTCCAGTGCTTCCAAACCTCCCTGTCTGCTTCTGTCACCTTTCCTGTTCAAAGGGTGACCAACTGGCCTCAGTCTCACAACTAACTTCCTTCTTTAGCAACGCTCTCTTTTGCAACACTCCTTGCCAAAAAATCATTTAATAGATTAATTCTTACTGAAATCCTCAGAACAGATCACCTTACATAAGTATATAAATTCAAGTTACCAGTCCACATGTCCAATTTAGAGTAAAGCTATTGAAAAAGCTGAAACTAAAGAGAGTAAAAGGATTATTAGCCAGCCCTAATTATACAGACTGATCTCATCCTCTTGTCATAAGCCTCTTTCCTGTGTCCGGAATCTATTTGTGCAGCATAAAGACCAGCCTTTTGTAAATGTGCAAGGGTCATCAGCCCACTAGGATCAATTTTACATTTAAAAACTCATATGTGTTATCAACCAATTCCCCTGCAATAGGATATGACCCTGACCTCATTTGCCAATTTTTGCTTTAAAATATTACCAACAGCAAACACTACTTAAGATGCTAATCTGTAAAAGCCAAACAGCATTTCAAAGGTAGCTATCATGCTGTTTTAATGAAATAAAAATTGCAGGCCACATCTTCAGTTCAAGTAGCTACATCCTAATAAAGTTAAGAACTAACAGTTGACTTGAATTACAGTGCAGCATGTACGCAAAAGCACACATGTGTTTATACTCAAATTAAGTCCTCCAACAGGTTCTGGGGCAGCTGTTTCACGTATGCATAAGACATTAATCTCAGGCTCAAATGTTAACTTCCAGAAAGCCCCAGCAGACATTCTAGAGGCCTCTTCAAACAAGTAAAATACAGTTTATACCTTTCTATACACTTTGCAGTTAGAACACGTATTTTGGCAGCAGATTGTAGAGAAGTCCTCAGAATCTCCCCCTTAAATTTGTAGAGTGCAATTTGGGTCATGAGTTATGAGTTACRTCCTTTGAAAAAATCAGAGTTTTTTCTTGAAAAGTAAAACAAAACCTTTCTGCAGAAAGGAGGYTTCCCCAAAGTGCAGGCAGTCAGAAGCAGAAGCCCCAAGGAAGTCGCTAGCTCCTTTTGAAAACCGAGATGCATTATATCTGCACGCAGATGTAGGCTCTGAATGCACAGAATGAGGGAGATGGCAGGAAGAGAACTTGAGGARCACTTTTCCCTGAGTGAATAAAAGCACAAATATGGATGGCTGTCACTAACCCAGAGGTGCCTGCAAAGCCTTACACACACTTGAGGGAGCACATGTTCTTTTGGGTACAAATTCCCAGTAATCTTGGCTATAATACCTGGCTTGAACCTACCACATTCTCCACCCCACTCCTCTCCTGCTTTGTATTCAGTGTATCCAGCAAAGATGATTTTACTGCTGCTGTGTGGTTCACAGCAGATGAGAAAAAAACACAGCTCCAAAAGATGAGCTATAAAACAAACAACAAAAWCTTTCTCCTCGTGCTCCACCAGAGAACAGCCACCGCTATTTGATTTCATTCCCCAAAATTTAGGGCTGCAGAAGAAAGCGATTCACGAGGCCCAAAGCAGCCAGCACACACTTATGCTGACAAATATTGCTAAATCTTTCCCAATACGTGCAAACCAGGTAGTTACCCAGGAGATATTTTAAGGATATGTACCAACCTTAACTGCTAAAGCCACACACAGAGTTGAAAAATTGGCATCAAGATCAAAATTCAAGAGATGCCTCTGCCCTGATTTTGGTCACAAGAAGAACTTTACAACCATTTTTATGCACTTTTCCTCTCCGAAGGATACGTGACTTGCTTTTCCCTTTAGGCTCCCTTTTGCAAATGCTCCCGCTTTCCAGCTCCACAAGTGATTGCTTAGGCTTGAAATACAAAGTCAGGACCTCTGCCAGAAGAGGAAGCCTCCAGCAGAAGCTTTTGCTCTCGTACTTGAGAACCAATATTAACTCCACTCCCTATTGCAAAATTAAGAACTCTTTCTTGTACTGTACTCCTTTTCTTTCACTTTACAGGGACAGCTATAAGAAAAGATATGCCAGAACATATCTCATTTAGGTAGTTACAAAACATGCACATGTTCACAAAGCATCTCTTCTGAGACATGACGATCTCAAAAATGCCATTATTGCCCCCGTTCCCAACAAGTGCTGCTCTAACGTAGTCAGCTGGTACAGGGACAACAGAGAAAAAATGTGGAGTTTTAGCTCGGCTGCACATTCAGGGAACACACTGGACAAARRAATGCCACAAACATCAGAGAGCCACATGTCATAATAAAAAGGACCATAGAAAACTTCCTTTTTTTTTTTTCTTAATAATGCATCAAACCAGGTATTAAAGCCAACATGAGCACACATTCTACCCAGTTCCACCACCTTGATTGCTGGCTGTAGTTTTTCTGTAACACACAACCAGCAAAGCAAGCTTTGCAAGCTGGCACCCTGCTCAACACCTGAAATCCTTTCCCTCAACCACCTTTACAAAGCGGTCTTCCAGAGCGATCCTTCGGGAACTGCACGGGCTAAGCGCCCACAGGTTCCAGCCTCCTCAGTAAATCATTTATAACCCARGATCACGGACATGCAGCACTGAGAGGCCACGCTGTGCAGCTGTTTGCAAACCAGACAGCTCTGTGCAATTAGGTTGTAACACGGGACTCAGTTTGAGCAGTGGAAGCACATTGCTTTATTACCAATATTTTTTTTTTCAAGTTATGCAGCTATTTTAAATGTTATGGCATTCATTAACTCAAACTTCATTAAGCGATTACCACCACATGAATGAAATGAAAAGATTATTATTATACGCACAATTATGAAAATACTAGACCAGCAGGCAAAAAAGAGGAAAAGGTATGAAAAATAATGAATGCTGCTCTCGGAGTCAAGTTTGGCCTTTTGCAGCTTCCGAGGCGGAGACAAATCCAGGAACCAGAGCCAAATCCAGGAACCAGAGGTGTGCGAGATGCTGCTTCCCAGGTGGGAGGTCCAGTGCAGCATCTCCTCGCCTGCACCAGGGTCCCAGAGGCTTCTGCACTGCTGCCGTGCGAGGCAGGAGCTGTTCCCTGCCTGAGTGACCCGCACCAAGGCTCAGCTCCTGTCCCAGGCTCTGCTCRCACCAAGCTCGCTGCGCTCCAGACAACACTGAATTAAGGAACTAGCACCGCTCAGAGCTGTGGACAGGCTCAAATCCCTTCTAGGTGCAAAGATCCTTTTCCCCCTCCTCCTGAACCTGCACTCAGAGCAGCTCAGAGCTGATGCACTCCATTCTCCCAAGCTGGTTTTCGTACGTGCYGACGAGGGGAGCGCTCCTCCTTGAACCAGGCCCAAGTACACGCAGCTAGCGGGCGTCTGAGCCTCAGCATGAACTCAGACAGCAGCTCGCAGCCAGCCACATCCTCAAAGGAATTCCTTCCCCAGAAAGCAGCTTTCATTCATAGTTCTGCCAAACAGACTTAATTTCCTTCTYGGGGAGGTGTTAGGGTTGGAAGATAGGTGTAATTACTCTGCCTACCCCCTTAAAACAAAAGGGAATCCGAATGATTACAATAACTACTCATCTCTCTAGAGGAACAGCAGCTTATGATTAATCCCCGCAGCTGCTGCTGCGGCTCAGCAATGCCAAGTGCTTTGGACCCAGGATTGTTACCAAGCTGTTTTCAAAGCACCAGCCGTCTTAGGCAAGACTGTGGAAAATGTGAGCCCCGGCGGAAGGCAAACAGGTTAGGCACAAGGAAGGAGAAAAACAGTCACTTCACGGCAGTTTTCCTTCCTCTTCTGACCAAGCTCGAGTGCCCGTTTCCAAGCAGGACGCTCTCAGTTTGCTCAAGGACGGCAGGTTTTGCAAATTTGAGACTTTGRCAGAGAACAGGTTTATCTCCCTGAGTCAGAACCGATAGGACCACAGTCTGGCAAGCCAGAACACAGGATGGGGGAGAGGACACAATGGTTCAGTGGCCCTAGGGATGAGGGAGCTGCACTGCCCCATCCTCATCAGCACCAGGCTCTGAGCAGGCTGTCTGCCTAACCTGGGAATGTGAAAATAGTCCCTGAAAACAACAAGGAGGAACAGCTGAAGATGGAGGTRTGATTTTCCACCATCCCAGATGGTGGAAAGGTATAAGAGCAATTAAGGTGTCCAGGACACTATGTGAGCAAAACTGGGAGCACAGAGGGGTTTGCAGGGGTAGCATCATCACTAGGRTTACTACACGCGCCACAAAAATATGACAAGTTGCTGACAAATTTGCTTTTAAAATRTCCTTTGGTATCGGGCCCCCCTCCCGTCATCAACAGACCAACTTGGCAGATGGATGCCCCAACCTCTTCACCTGCCCATGCAAGAAAGACCCTTGGCTTACTTGGACTGCATGAAGCAGTGCAGGTGCTCCAGGATGTTCTTGGGCTCTCGGAGCCGCGCGGCGAGGAGCGGGTTGGGAAGCAGCACTCAGCTCCTGAAAGAGATGGAGGGAGAGGGAGTCACCAGGTGCTCCGAGTGCCAGAATGGGCCCGGCCAGAGAACCCTGRCGCTAGCAACAACTTCAAGAGCACGTGGAGGGAAACGATTTTTCATTTTGACCTTAGCAGCTGTATGGGAAACGCCCTATCTACACAAAGCCACTCCAGGACGGGCTTTATCACACTCCCCGTAAACTCCCTTTGGGTGAGATATTTAGGAGTGGACACCGGAGTGCCAAAACGAAACGAAGGCCATGTTTAGGCCACCAGAAAGACCCCAAATTTATCAGCAAGTCTCTGACAAATCCCTTGCATCCTGCCCACCCCATGGACACATCTCCTGTTCCSGGACAAAATCTACCCACCAGAGATGAGTCTCGTCTACCCAGTACACACAAAAAAACTGGATTAAACGACAAATGTAGAAAAAGTGCAGGCAGTGATTTAGGTTGTTAAATGCTGTGTGGCAGATTTTATTAGCTAAATCCAAGTCATCAGGGCACCCTAGGCCCTCATTCGATGGCTGCTCCAGAGAGGCTGCAGCTGTGCATGCACCACCTGAACACGAGTGTGCTGTACAGCCCAAAGGAAATAAAGGAAGCCCAGAACTGTGAAGGGGTTTTTTTTTTTTTTTTTTGCTCATGCACATCTGAATTATCTTCTCGTGCTTTCAAGTTATTGGAGCCGAGAGGGGAATTATCTGTTAAATCCCAAACGCTACAAGCAAACCATCACACACGCAAAAAGAGGAAAAAAAAAAAGAAGAAAAAAAAAATCAAGACTGGAACTTCCCTCCTTCCCTCTTGCATTCCTCTAGCATTACTTTTAGGACCACACTTTACAAGACGGTTACTATTTGATAYAGCAATGATTAACTATATGAAGTGAGCAATGTTAACCCAAGACACATCCTAGCGATGCCGGGTTGGTCTCAAAGTTCAATGAAAGCGACTGCTCTCCGCAAGGCACGTACCGCAGGGAGGGTCATTCACTTGGGGGACGATTATAACTTGGCTTTTAACGAGAAACTCAAACACTTTGGCCCAGAAAACAGGGTTTACTACTGTTGCTTCCAAATGACAAGCAATGCTGGTATGGCTCATGCTGGTAAACTACCTAGTGAGCAGGCTCTGAATCACTGCAGGTTTGTCATCGTGCCCACTAAAGAATGAAGGGTGTGTGAAGGCAAAACCCACTCAGACCTTTACGATTTGAAGAGGACTAGCAAGTACCTCAGCAATAAAAAGCAATTGAAACCATAAAATTCTTCCTCCTTGCTTTTCCCCCCCTTATTCTGAAGGAATGTTTATATTCTTACAAAAGGAAGGAAAGAARGAACATAAAAAACCTTTACATCTATTTTTAGTGCATATGAGGAGCCTACATAATCAGTAGAGTTCTCCAAAGGGAGAAAAAGTAACTCCCCAAAGGTTTCCTTCCTATRCAACGACTGCTATGGATGACTCCTGCGTGTGCAGCTCTTTCAGAAGAAGGCTTTCCGCATATGGATGTCTCCCAGAAATCTCCCTTTTCCTTATCCCAACAACAACAAAATTCAAGTGCAGATGACTACTGACACATCTCCTCTTGTCTGCATCTTAAGATGTTTTTATAAAGCCTGTCCCCAAAATCTCCATGTTCTACCTATTAGAAGCAATTAAWCCAGAGTTTCTCAATCTTCAACTTCCCTTATCAGCCATGCAAATTATCCTAATATCCTATTTCCCTGATGAGCAAAGACACCTAGAAAATCAGGAGAGGCCTTTGCAGTTAGTTCCATCGAGAATCTGTGATTACAGGCCACCTCTCCTGTAAAGCAGGTTTTTGAAATATATCAGCCTTCCAAGCTATCATACTTGAATCAGAGGAAATTTTACTCCTTGCAAAAGTGTTAGGAGCTACCACTTATGCAGAAACATAAATTTGCAGACACTYGATAAAAGGTGAAAACTTGCAGAAAAAAAAAAAAGGAAGTTAGAGACTGCTGGGCAGAAGTCAGCCACCACGCAAGAACCCAACTCAATAAAAACGATGCAGCAGAGAACACATCTTAGAGCAGTCGAGTCCCTTTCTACACCGTATGCACCAAGCTAGCAAAACAGCAGTACAGGCTATTGTACCACCACCTTAAAAGGAAATATAATATATACATGTTCTTACTGAAAGAAAAATCCAAGATTGATTCAATTTTGAAATTTTAGCTAAAAAACTAGCGAGTACCTCCTTCTTTTCAGATTTACTTGCAAACAGTATCATTGTAAGGATCTGTATAGGACCTTTATAAGGACCTATACATTCTTGCCCCCATTCCTAYGTTCTAACCTGCAAGCCTGCTTGGAGAACAACTGTCCAAAGGACGCAAGCAGAACACAGTCTCGTGTTGCTCACCACCACCGAAGAAGTAAATGAGAATTTAAAGATGACTCCCTTTGACACTTGCCTGAATATAATCTATTCCTCTTGGATTAAAAAGAGCGCCTTGCATGCCAAAACAGATTTACTCAGTGGCAGACTGCCCGCAATCTTGCTCCCTTCATACCAAGACGGTTAAAGCATAAATTACCTGTGCTATTTTGCTGAAATTTCTGAAACACGTTCAGGTAAGAGAGGGGGAAAGAAAGTTGTAGGGATACTCTAGTGATTTACACTGTTTTAAAGAGAAGGTGGCTTGCCCTGTGGAGAAGGCAGTTACATAAGTAATTCCTTTAATAGAGAAACTTTTATACCAAAAAAAAAAAAAAAAAAAAAAATGTCAGTGACTTAGAGATGATGCATCTGATGCTTCCTCCACAGGAAGAAGAGTGGAGCATCAGAAGGTTCTTTTCTTGGCATGAAAGGAATGACAACAAGCACAAGTACACTGACAGTTAGAGCTACTATACATTTAAAAGCCGTTTACAAGTCATTTTGGTAGTAAAGGGGAAGAAAGAAGAGCCCAGATGTGGGCAGCAGGCGACGTTCTCCAAAACGCATGTGCTCGGGATAAAGAGAAGAGCTCAGATCTCAAGCCTTCCAGTTGCTCTGCTGGTTCTCCTGAAGATTCAAGCAAGTAGAGCAGAGATGCCTGGTCCTTCCAARCCCAGCAGTTAAGAAAGGAAGCGGCTTTCCAGGCGTGTTCCTTTTTTCCCCTTCAGAGAAGCCTTACATATTTTTCGCTTTGCAAACTGATCGTTTTGACATGTAGAATGAGTTATCTCACCACCTGTTTGTAATTGCAATAATTAAGCTTTCAACAAACTCAAAAACAGCACCAAGAACAGGGCACTAATGGCCTAGGAGATGAACTGCTGATTATTTTGGATTATTTGATACAGCTGGAACCTTTTGATAGCCAAGACACCCAAACATAGCCAAGCCCATGACTACGACACCCAAACAAACCTCTGGAGTTTTTCCGAGTTTTGGCTGTTTTACACCACAAAACCTCCTCGCAATTTCATATCAAATGATGTCAGGAAAAACACTGCTTCTCCTCATTACCTCCTGAMTTGCTGGATGTACATCTGCATGCTGCTGCTATCTCATTTCTTTTAATACATGGGCTATACTTGTGTATCACAATATTCTCATTACAGGACGTCATTTTCCGGCTCCTATTGGGCCTCCCAGGAAAAACTGGCTTGTGAGACCTAATCAGAAGTTTGTTCCGTGGCCCAAAACACACATCCCAATTCCTTAGGGAAGGGAAGCTGGACACCCTCCACTCGGACAGCACATTTCCCACCATCACATGCAAGGAAGCCCACAGGTGACTGCAAGGAGTGGCTCCACACCGGGAACAGCAGCATCATCCAAGCAGAGTCCAAAGCCAAGCGGCCTCTTGGATTGATGCAGAGCTCAGTGATGTTGGCAGAGGTTCCCTTAAYCCCAATTAGCAAGAGGCAGGAAGCAAAGCTACTTTCATATGCACCGAGTTAACTTTGGGCTAAAGCCCTTCTGAAAGCCCCTCCACACCCTTCCTTGAACTCGGGGCCAGAAATACTCCCACGGGCAGGGAAGAGGGAAGCAGGGAAACCACAGGCAAGGGTCCTTCCCCCCTTATTCCCATTCCAGATGGGCACAGATCGCATCTCTACAACTTTGAAATCTGCATCTAATCGATAGAGCTTTTCTTTTGCACCGATGGCAAAGGAGCTTGCAAGTTCCAGAGCAGCAAAGCAGAGGGACCAGAAGAAACRTGGTGCCCCTCTCTGCTTTGGCCCTGTTGGTTACCAAGAGGCCATAAACTTTTTGTGCAAAACCCCTCCAAAACCTCTTTCTCCAGGCAAGATGAGGTGTCAAGGGGACTCTGACTCTGCAAGCAATTCAGTCTCCCCAATCCTTAAGAGCAGTGCCCTGCAGAACAACTTTTGCCTGCAACTGTAAGACAAAAACAGGAAAGAAAAAAAAATAGTATTTTTTTGTCCACATTCAGTGTTTTTGCCAATACCTTTTAAAAATAAAGGCAGGACTCAGTGCAGAAATTTGATCATCTATAAGCTGAAGCTGCCACAGCAACTACTTCTTTCCAGTCTTGTAAAACCACGTCAGGTCTGAGATAAAGGTCTTGAAACTGTTTCCACAACACCATCATGGCTGTGAAAGATATTAACTTAATTCTCACAGATTTTAAAATCTGCAATCTGTGTTAGACCTTAACACCTTACAGAATCACCACAGCAAGTCAATCATCCCCCCATTCCTCAAGAATGGCATTGGAATATCCAAAAAAATAAAGCAAACAGCAGCAGGCTGCAAGAACAGCCCAAGTCCAAAGGTTTTTTGTTTTGTTTTTTTGCTTTCTTTTTACTTTTCCTTTGCAAAGATCTCAGCTATTCTGTTAGTACAAGAATTGTGTCTCCTGTATGATGATACCCAGGCCAGAAGATAAACAAGTYGCCCCCTCTCCTAACTCAGGCTGCAACCCAAAACAAATCCTCTTTGGAACACCAGGGAACACAGAACAAACACAAACAGGGAAG